AGCATGAACAAGAGAGATGATACCTCCCGCCTACCAGCCATTTGGAAACCCGCCCTTATTGACAAACGACTCCCTAACACAAAAAATGATACCAGACCCACACTCACAAAAACCACACAGGATGTCACCACCACACATCCACGCAAAAAGCAAACCCAAAGCCACACCGATGATGAGGCACGACCACAAACCAGAAGCCAGACCACAGCTGCATCATTAGCCACTTTAAACCCCTCCAATCCATACATGAAGCAAACTGACACCCTCCATGAAGAGGAGACACGACCACGAACGCGAAGCCAAAAAATAGCAAGGCAGCCCAAAATCTTAAACCCCTCTGCAACTCAGACTAACCTGAGCACAACCAAACAGAACACTCCCCCAGCCAATCAGAGCACAGCCAAGCCCCTAACCATCAGAACACACCTCCACCCAATCAGAACACAGCCAAGCTCCCACCCAATCAGTTCATACCCCCACTGGCAGTTAAAAGGAATAAACAGCTAAGACCACACATGCTGCTCAAAGCACGAAGCGAAAGCACCCGCCTGAAGATGACGAATGGGACTTCGTCGAACGTCGCCAAGACACTTCCAATTTTACGTGGGAGAAAACCCGAACAACCAAAGACCTACATACAAACACCCGCGAAAACCTCAGAAAACATATATATATATATATATATTTGCTCCTTGAAGCACGAAGCTGAAAGCACCAGCCTGAAGATGACGAATGGGACTTCGTCGAAACATCGCCAAGACACTTCCAATTTTACGCGGGAGAAAATCCGAACAACCAAAGACCTATATATATATATATATCTCCTCCCCCTGTCTCTCTCCTGATAGCTAACAAAGTGGGAGAGAACCCGTGGCTTAGAATTCTCTCTTTATTCTTTGTTAGCAAAACCTAAATATATATATATATATATATATATATATATATATATATATATATATATATATATATATATATATATACACACACACTATTAAAACAGTGATCACCAAGAGAATGCTTGGTGACGAATGGGACTTCATCGAAACGTCACCAAGACACTTCCAATTTTACACGGGAGAAAACCCGAAAAACCAAAAACCTACATACAAACACCTGTGAAAACCTCAGAAAACATATATATATGTTTTACTATATTTTACTAATGTATGCATTTCTATATGAACAACATACTTTGTTTATACCATACTACTGCAATATAGAGGGGGGGAAAAGTAAAATAAAAGGTGCACCAATATATTTTACAGAACTATTTTTAAATGGATTAACTTTTTGCTGGATCCAGTAAAGTGTAATAGTAAGTGAAACTTTTGTATGGACGCTGACTTGTCAACTAGTGTCCAAAGCATGTAACTGTCCTAGTACATAAACATAAGAAAGTTTGGATTATACGTTATGAGGGTACTGTATTGCTTCCTGTGTCCTAAAATGTTTCAGTTTCTGCAGACTTGGCTTTATACATATTACTTTTACAAACATTCCTGCAAACCGATCAGGATCAGGTGAGCTTAACATGCATATTAACAGATCACAACAATACTGCTAAAATCTTTGCATTATTTTTCAGCCACATAAAAACTGAAATGTTGATCCAAGAAGGGAAACTTTTTATTAGAGAGAATGATTAAAGCATCAAGCACAAAAGGGAAGTGAACAATACCCAGCTGATACATATCAATTGACCAGTGTTAACATCTAATAGTAGGAATTTGTTCTACACACTGTTCTATAAAATGAATGAATACACTATTGTTCAAAGGTGAGCAGAATAACAGTACAGATTTTGCTTCACCATAATCATTTCCAGTGGGCTCCAATTAAGTGAATACTAAAGTATAGAGTCTGTTGCACTCTAGCTTCATTAAATGTTCTCATCATGTGTGAAATAAGTTTGCAGGAGCAACGATTTCTATTGTATCTAGTTCCAGTATATCAAGCTAATATTGCTGAATAACAACAGGAATGTGATACTGTCTTTTTGATGCAAGCAGTGGTGTAGTCAGCAAAGCAGTAGAATTGTAAAAGAAGATACTATGTGCATTTTTTTCTTCACTTAATGAAGAAACCAATAATTTAACCAATAATTTATGGGTTAATATCTTAATCCCTTAATCAAAAGCAAAACCATTTTATGTAGAGAATTACACTGGCATGGTCAGAGATATTTCCTTTCTCTCTTCAGGTACACTCTTTATCAACAGGTGTTTTCTTGGCATGTATGCTAGTGTTGGGGGAGATACCTTTATATTTTCTCAAAACAAAAAAGGGATTAAGGGGAAAATGTATATATTCTCTAAATCAGTGCCAAGAATGAACCTCTATGTAGATCATGCTTCTAGGACTGGATTGTGCCAAACTAACTTTGGCATACATCTATTATCTCTAGGTTCAAATCAATTGAAGAGATATAAGGAGTTTGTTTTATCAGTCTACTTTTAATATTACATTTCTTTTCTATTCGTAATAAAAGCTTTAAGCAAGTCAACTAATTCGGCATTCATTGATGCTGATCTGTTTACTTGCTGCCATGGGACAATGCATAATAAGTTCAGATTGTGCCTTGTTGTCAATTTTATGTCCGATCAAATGTGTTACTGAATAGGTGTAATAAATCATTTATAACTAGTGAGTAAATGACAGCTAAATAAGTGAAAAATACAATACTTATTCAACACACAATCCTGAATTTTCCCCAAATTTATTCCAGTCATAAATGATAAAGCAAGGGCACAAAAATATATTTATGTATAGCATAGCTTGTTTCATCAAGTGGACACCCACAGCTAAAAGAGTGTTGTATATTTTTATAAATAGGTTTTACTAAGTTAAATGAAAGAAAAAAGAAAATCAGCCCCCTATTCAGACTATCACCTATTCTGCAAGACAACACTTTAAAACAATAACAATCTACTATTGAAGCTTTTTGCAATCCACAGGAAGCATCGCTTATTACTACAGATGTGAGCAAACATGCTTTATCAGACTAAAGACTTTACAGAATCAGATTACAGGTTTACTAGTTCAGTTTTCACAGTGACCATTCACTAGTATGCGTGCAGGAATAAATTGAACAGAGGCTATGAGAATTGAGATTTAATCTAGACAAGGCAGAAGCAGTGATGGTCAATCAACAAACTGGGAAATAAAAATAAACCTGGAACAAAATGCAGTAGCAAGAATGCTTTAGTGTCCACTTTTGGGATGATTATTATTACCCATCTACTTCATACCCACTGGCTTTATATTTATTTCCAAAGCCTGCCATACACTAAATAAATAAATATTTCCAAAGCCAATTCAATGCCAAGGTTATTACCTATAAAGCTCTGATTAGTTTAGAAACAGGTTACTGGAAAGGGCATCCCTCTACATTAGACTTGTCACTGGAGATTTATCATCATGGGAAAAGTGAAGCATTGTAGCATATTCTGAAATGGTTGATGTATGTAAACCATTGTCAGTGTATGTGGATTTTGCAGCATACAAATCAAAGCAATTCATGCAAATAAGTAAGAGTGTAAGTACTAAAATTGAAGCTCAAAACAATTTATCTGAACCTCTGAAGAACTTTGGTAGGTGGGAGGACAGAAAAGTTAACACTATTTTTTTCACCAGGGTTTAACAGTTTTAATCAGGCTTTAAAAAAACAGTTACCAGTAAAGATGTATTTTAAATGGTGGTTTTATTAACCAAATTTGTGTTCTTGTGAACAGGTAATCCTTGACTTATAACCATAATTGAGCCCAAAATTTCTGTTGTTAAATGAGACAGTTGTTAAGTGAATTTTGCCCCATTTTATGAACTTGCTTGCCACAGTTGTTAAATGAATCACTGCAGCTAATAAGTTAGTAACATGGTTGTTAAGTGAATCTGGCTTCCCCATTGTCTTTGCTTGCCAGAAGGTCACAAAAGGTGATCACAAGACCCCAGGACACTGCAACAATCATAAATGTGAACCAGTTATCAAGCAGCCAACTTTTGATCACATGACCATGGAGTTGCTGCAATAATAATAAGTGTGAAAATGATCATAAGTCACTTTTTCAGTGCTGTTGTAACTTTGAACAGTCACTAAATAAAAGGTTGTAAATAAGGACTACCTGTATGGGATTTTTATGAGGGTTGAAAGGAGCTATATAATTGTTTCACCAAAAGCATAAATCCATTGGAAACTCACCAATAAGGCATTTGTGCAATAGTATTTTCTTGCTGTTGTCCCAGTCAATTAATATAGTAGAGTACTATGTTCTATCCTGAAACCAGAATCAATGACCAGAAGCTATGGATAGGCCTGATTTCCACTTAAATTCAGCTAAATGTTGTTTTGTGGGACAAATTTTATCTCTTTTCTGTGGATAAATCACTAGACCAGACATGTCAAACTCGTGACGTCATGTGACGTCATGCAACGTATCGGGAGAGTTTTGCATTCCCGGCAATGGGGTGCATGATGCCTCCGGCCCGTGGGCCGGCAGTTTGACACCCCTGCACTAGACTATAGACTAGACTAGACTACTGTTTGATCTCTCATTAGTGTAGTTTCAACAAAATCACAACTCTTGATCCTCAAAATGTGCATTTTCCCATTATAGAGATTAATGTCAGCATTGGAAAATTTTATTAAATAAGCCAGGCATATTGGCTGCCTCTAGAAATATAAGTTTAAAGACAGGCTTTCCAAGTGTGATGAGTCATGATGAGGGGCAGGATACATAAAACAGTATACTTTTCCAGCCAGATGTATATTTAGGCATGCAGAAGATGCTGAACAGCAAAAGCTTGTGCTTATTTGTTTGAATAAAATGTAATGAGAAGCTTTTACACTAATCAGTGGAGCAAATGCACTAAGTGGAGCAAATGCACAAGATGTTAATACAACAGCCATTGCCAAAGCAATTATAACCAAGAAAAATGTGCAACTTCACCCCCTCCACAAAACATAACCTTCACATGAATTAGTTAAGAATCAGAACAGAACCAACCCCTCATCTTCATAAAGGTACTTGACAATTCCCCAGAGGATTACAAACAGCATTGGCACACCTGGGGGAGAAAAAAGGAAAGAAGAAATGCATAGAGAATGAGTCAACAGAAAAACAATCAGGAAGGCTTGCAATGTTGTGAAATTTTATTCAATGCAAACCTTCCTTCGTTAAATGAGATTATAAGTAGCACTTATGCATTTACAGAGTCCCTTATAATTATCTAATCACCTTTAAAATGTTTTCTCTTTAAAAAAGCATTTAGATTGGAAATCTTAAAGTTGGAAGCACTTCAGTAACATTTTCAGTTATAGTATAATAAAACATCATGCTAGTAGATAGAATGAAGCCCAGAAGTACTGGAGAGAAATGCAAAGAAAGTTTGGATTATATGTTACAAGGTTTCTGTATTGCTCCTTGTCCTAAAATGTTTTAGTTTTTACAGACTTGGCATCATACATATTGCTTTACAAACATTCCTGCAAAATGATCAGGATCAGATGAATGTAACATGCATTTTGACAGATCAGTAAGATTTTAACAGTAACATCTTCAGTTATAGCATAACAAGACATCATGTTAGTAGATAGAATGAAGCCCAGAAGTATAGAGAGAAATGCAAATACAGAAAAACCCACAGAAATGAAGCTTACATTCCCTTAATTTCTTGGACATTCTTATTGGGATATCAAGTATTAGAAAATACTCAAAATATGTAATTTGTTATAGAAAAAAGGCCATGTAGTTCTTGACTCTTCCTCAATGAGATGTTGATCCGTTAATGTAGTGAGATGTTCCCGTGGTGCTATCATGGACATGTGCAATTGAACAGGTTAGAATTTCCTCCTGCTTCATCTTTCTAATCAATCCATTCCTATGATAAGAAAATATGGCTAATAATATACAAAGAAAATATGCCTCCCTCCCACTGTTACTGGCTATAAATATTGAAATGGTGATATTGCTGATGAAAGACTGTTTAATAAAATGCAGAAAGTCAGTAAGCAATTAAAATTTGTTTAATGCATACCTGTGTTGCACAGCCAAGCATGCATTTTTAAAATCTCTCCTTATTTTCTTTAAAGTTAATGTTAATGTGCTCTCTTGCTGGAAATTTGGTAACATTTATATACTTCAAATGCATAAAAGATTTAAAATTAAATATAGAATTTAGGTTAGTTTAAAGCAAACTCACTTTAAGTGTTAATTATATATAGGTAAGTTACTCCTATATAATGTAAATATCAGTATTCTATGATTTGTTTTTCTTCTTATACATTGGTTTTATAATAGTTGACTCTATGTGTTTCTATAATTTTTATTGAATATCCCTTTCAAACTTCTTTCTCTAGTTGGAAATTTCTGGTTGCCAGCATTAGTTCACTTTTGCAAGTTTAGTAAAGCCAAATTATAACCTTTTTTTTTTTTTACTATTGCTCCAGCTACAGTTAAAAAGTGCTCCCTCAATTATTCGATAAAAATTACTAATCAGTAGACTGGATAGTTAGTACCATTACAAACTGAAACCAAGTATATGAACTATGAGAAATTATCATTTGGTTTATATATATATATATATATATATATATATATATATATATATATATATATATATATATATATATCACACACATACATACACACATACATACATACATATATATACATATATATATACATACACACACACACACACACACACACACACACACACACACATTGGCCCAACTGATCATGAGTCCCCATATACATCTGCAAAAATGGATAACATTTCTGAGATTACACATAAATAAATGTTTTTCTTATTGTCTCAATGTTGGCACCACTATTGCCTTTAGAATGTACTTATACTCTTCTAATAGTACATGGTTTCTTCAAGAGAAAGAGAGAAAAAATAACTATTGATACTCCTTTATTTGTTAAATTTATTCTGATTTTTCTACTGTTAATAGAGTAGGTAGGCAAGTGACATGACAACAGAAAATCAGTGCAAGCATAAAAATAGATTGTTTCACTAAATGTGATATAATGCCTAGTCATGGTTTAATACTGCATGATATACTGAGATATTCTAATTGTAGCAACCTACACTTAGCTGTTATGAACTATGGTTTATGATCAGACTTAAATTCTGATTAAATCCAATTTGTAAAAGGTTTATAAAATCTTTCTCTCCTTTTTTTATAAAGGAGAGAAAAGCAAACAGATGGGGAAAAACTGCATATTCTGAAGAAATCATTTCAATTTTGTTCCCATAAATTTCATAATTAGTAGTTTTGACACTATTCCTGAATTGAACATGCAGAATTGCTATGTTTTACCCCAATAGCAGCCATAGGCAATCAAAAGCTTTTGTATTGCTCTAGTTCTTAATGCAATGGAGTATTAAATCTGATAAGAACTTTTATTAGAGCGGGTATTGCTAGAATTTCAAGAATCATCAATATGTATTTTTTTCATGAAATAAATCAAGGATTCACGATGGCAATATAACATTTGTACTATATCATTTCTTAGATCAGGGATCCCCAACCCTAGCCCATGGACTGGCATTGGTCCACGGCATGCCAGAAACCGGTCTGTGCAAACAAGCAAAGCCCCATCCACAGGAGGCAGGTAGCACGCAAAACCACACCCCCTGTTGTCCACGGAAAAACCTTTCTCCACAGAACTGGTCCTTGGTGCCCAAAAGATTGGGGGGGCACTGTCTCAGATAACAGATAAGGAAGTTAGTAAACAGTATACCACCAAGTGGGTCAAGAAGAAAAGAGAAGCTTTTATGAGTTAAAATGAAATTCAGAAGTTTAACATTTAAAAAGCATATTTAAACAATATGTCCAATGTGATTACAGAATTAGCATCAGTGGGCTTGTTGAGCATGAGTACTGCATTAACTGTCTACTGGAACAGATAAATGACAATAAATACAATCCAGCTGTGGTACTAAAAATGTATCAGATATCTCATCCAAATTCATTTATAAAACCAGGTGCATGTTTAATTCAAAGAAACACTTATTTACTTTGGTGATCTTCTTGACTTAGTAATGAATTAAGGCTGTATTTATAAACCATAATATTTTTAAAATGAAATATGCAAACTGAAAGAGAACAAATTATATTTCTGTGAAACCTACAGATGTGGAAAGCAATAACTGCTTTGTTGTGACCAACATATATCAGAAACATCTCCACTTCTGACTTTTATTTCATGTTTAAGATCCAATTATTAATCCAAATGCCATTTGCTTTTGAACCCACAGCAGTGTTCTGAGTAAATAAAAATAATAAAGAGCTCAGATATGAGCTGCTGTGTTGCTGCTAAATTTCATTGGTTCCATATGTTGAACAGTCTGGATTTGCACTGGACCGTTATACACTGTACAGTTACTGCTATCTTTAAGCAATCTTTTCCCAACAGCATAAGTTGAATGTGCCAGTCCCAAATGTCAGTCAGCACATTTGGATGATACCACATTACAGGAAAATATGTTTAGATGATTTGCAACAAAGGATGTAAGTTGCTGACTGATGATCCAATGCATTTTTTCCTCAAGTGATATTTTAATATCCTTTATTTTATGTTAGCTCAGATGCTTGTTTAGCTGGGTTGCTGATTATTTTCAATCTTTTGTGTACCTAGGAAAATCTCTATGCACCTGTAAATTATTATTATATTTTTGTGTGCTTGGTTTAAAATTATAAGAACTCATTACCCAATGTTTTATTAACAAATAATGTAAAAACGCTACAAATGAAACATAGTGAAAGCAAAAAGTTGTTGTAGAAAGCGTTGAGAGGTCCTTAGGGAACAGGCAAAGAAAGATGAAACAATCCTTAAGCAAGACACCAGGCAAGAGACTCAAGCAAATGGAATGAAGTGATCTCTTCACAACTAGTCAGAACTTCTGAGAAAAATATTAAAATTATATAAGGTGAACTACCTAAAGTTTTTTTTAGTTTTATGGATAATTTAGAGCTTGTTGATGCAGCGGCAATTCAAGAGAGTATTCTAATTTTTCTGAAAGACATAGATCTTTTTCAAGAACATATCTCTATGAATTCAACTAAGGTACATAAAGTAGAGATATTACCAAAGTGAGTTTGGTTTTTAAACGGAAACCCAGTTTTACCAAACAATGGTAAAATGAAATGCCATTACAGAAAGAATCGGTAGTGGAAAACTATAAAAATAAATTAAGAGTTTTTTTGAAAATAATCTTAATAAAAGTACAGATATAAGAATGGTGTGGGTGGAAGCAAAGCTTTCAAGAGGTTACTTCATACAACATAACAGTAAACTCAAAAAGAAGAGACAAGAGAAAACACAAGCTATGAGACAAAAAGAAGAGAAGAGGAATTAAAGACGTTTCCAGAGAAGATAAATATTTCCCAGCAAATTAAGCTTCTGCAGTGACAATTTCCTATGTTAATGCTAAGAGAAATGTAAATAAAAATAAATTACGCAAAAAAGAGTTTACAAATAAACCAGGGAAGGGCTAGCATACAGATGATGATGATGATGATGATAGTAGTAGTAGTAGTAGTAGTAGTAGTAGTAGTAGTAAAGTTGGAAAGGACCTTGGAGGTCATTTAGTCCAACCCCCTGCTCAGGCAGGAAACCCTATACCATTTCGGACAAATGGCTGTCCAGTCTCTTCTTAAAAACTTCCAGTGTTGAAGCACTTACCGCTTCTGGAGGCAGGTTGTTCCACTGGTTAATTGTTCTAACTGTCAGGAAGTTTCTTCTTAGTTCTAGGTTGCTTCTCTCCTTGATTAGTTTCCATCTGTTGCTTCTTGTCCTGCCTTCAGGCGCTTTGGAAAATAGCTTGACTCCCTCTTCTTTGTGGCAGCCCGAGATACTGGAACACTGCTATCATGTCTTCCCTCATCCTTCTCTTCATTAAACTAGACATACCCAATTCCAGCAGCCATTCCTTATATGTTTTAGCCTCCAGTCCCCTAATCATCTTTGTTGCTCTTCTCTGCACTCTTTCTAGAGTCTCAACATATTTTTTACATCGCGGTGACCAAAACTGGATGCAGTATTCCAAGTGTGGCC